GGGGGTGATTTCTCGCTTTCTGTCTCTATGTCTCTCTCTGTCTGGCGAGCGCACGTGCCCTATACCGAAAACCTCTCCCCCCCAAAAAAAAACCCTAAGAAGTTCTCACGGAAAACCTGTGATGTTTACTGAGGGCCTCCACCCTAATAGGCCTGACTCCTGTTTTTCTCTCCACCCCCGATACTTCTGGAACAGTAGTTCTGAGCTGCCACTAGGCATAGGAAGGGCCTCAGCAGGGAAAGCGGCCGGTGCCAAGTGTCAGGCTCACCTCTCTGTGTTCCCCTTTCTTCTGGGACCTGGCATTTTGACCCCTCGAGTTCACTTCCTGGCGATTCTCACCGCCTTCAGACCCCCTCAGCTCTCTAGCTCTCGGGCGGGCGGCAGTTGGTGTGACATGACTCAGTCTGCAGCTGGAGGAGGAAGCCTGCCCTGTTGTTGCTCTCCCACTGGAATGATAGAGTCAAAACAAGCAGCTCCAGCGCCTGGCACAAAAGCTCCACTAGTGCAGTTACCCTTCTCTTCTCCCTACTGGGAGCCCCAGGGCCGTGTGTTAAAAACCACCCCCTCCGAGCCCTCCCGTACATCTTAGAGATGAGCAAACCCACGTTACACACATGAATGGACTCGTGCAACTGGACTCTGCGGGAGGCAGTAACTGGACCCAGAGGCTCCTGCGGGGCCTCCTGGCCCTTGCCTGAGAGGGGGAGTGCACTCTCCATCTCCAAATTGGGGACTGGAACTCCCTGTGGCCCAGCTCAGTCCTCGGCTCCGGCTCCGAAGGAGACAAACCGGGGACTGCGGCTTCTCAGACCACCGCCAAGACCTGCAGCCCCAGCTGCACAATTTGGAGCCCTCTCCTTAACTTCAGCTCCCTGACCGCTCGTAGCTGTCCTCTGGGGCAGAGCGCACATTCGCACACACGCGCATGCAGGCACGTTCACCTGCAGGTACACAGGCAACCGCACACTCAGAGTCTGAGGCACACAGTCCAGGTGAGACGAGGCAGCAGGGGGGGTGAAGATAACTGCTCTGCTTTGAATCCTGGTCCCTTTCTCCAGGGGGGACAGGCAGAGGCAGACTCAGAAGAGACTGAAAGGCCAGGCCAACGGCAGAGAATGCCGGGCCTGAGGACCTGCTGCCTCCTCCTTCTGGCAAGGACTCTGTCTGGGTCCCCTGCTCAGGTCCATGGACTCCATGTGGCCCTAGTAGGCTATGGGGAACGTGGCTAGAGAGAGGGCCCCACATCCTGTGGCTGCACTGAGGGGTACTGCAGCCACTAACTCAGGTTGTTTTGTGGAAGTGGAGGTGTGAGCGTGAGGGTGTGAGTGTACATGTGTATGTGTCAGTGTGTGTGACAATGTGAGTGAGTGTGTGTGAGTGTGCACGTGTGTGTCAGTGTGTAAGGGAGGGGCAGGTTTTCATGCATGCTCAGCCACCAAGCCCAGAAGGAACCCCCAGCTTGCGGAGATTTTAAGCTGATTTTAGATAATTTGGCTCAGAAGAAATCTATGCACTTAATTTTTTTTCTGGTTCAAAAGTAGTACATGCTGATTATAAAAAAAAAAATAAATGTGGAAGTCAGAAAAAAATGGGACATAAGGAAAATGAAAAGCACCTGTGCTCCCGCCCCTGGAGATAATCACTGTCGGCATTTGGTGAAGTTGCGATTGCATGCGGGCGCCGCTTTCTCTTCTTCCTTCTCACTGAATCTGCCACGAGCGTTTTCTCACATCATTAGTCTTAGTAAACCTGTTGGAAGTCAGCGTACCACTGCGTTGTGCACCCTAGTTTATGTGGCTTGTTCCCAGTGGTTGGGCATCCAGGTGGCTTCCAGTTGTCCCCTGTTGCATAAAATCAAGATCATGCATCTTTGCAAATGAAGTGTCGAGAAGCCCTGCTCAAAGGCACCATCAGAGTGCGAGGGAGGAGGTATTCCAGGAAAGGCTGAGTGCAGCTCAGATTGCAGGAGGCTCACTTTGGCCAAGAGATCTGACAGGACTGGGGGATGAGCTGAAATCCAGCTGCTCTGACTACTTTGGACATTCCCTGCAACACCCCTGCAGTGTCCAGATAGCTTCCAGACCTTCTTGGGGTTCAGGAGGCATACAAGCGGCAGACCGTGGGGGAACGTGATACAATAATCTGCTCTGAGGGCCCTGGGGCTGCCCACCCTTCCCTCAGGACCCTCCATACCCTGCAGACCTCAGCTCACGGGTGGTGACAGTCCAGTGCTTTGGCTGGATGCTTTAGGTGGGGGGAAGGCACATGAAGATCCCCTGGAAATGAGGTTGAGGGACCTGCAGGAGCCTCGTCCTAGACTCCCAGAGGCTGGGCAAGAAGGAAGAGGGTGGAGGGGCAGGGCTGAGACTGGACAGCACAGGGGAGTGGGCAGTGTGGAGATGCCTCCACGGCCATGCTGTCCATCTGGAAAGGACATTGCTTGCCTTTTCTTTGCCTCCCTCATGCTGCTCAGGGCCATGGAGGGGCAGTGACTGCACCTCACTAGGCTCTGAATGTGCTCCTCTGTCCTTGACACTAGATAGGGGCGGGAAGTGGGGGGTTCACTTCTTTGGGGCTCCTTGGGCCCACAGGGTCATAGACATTAATGCCACAATCAACATCAGTGACCAACCATCATTTTCATCCAACCCCTCATGGTACAGATGGGGAAACTGAAGGGCCAAGTCAAAAAGCTAATGGGGCCAGGATTCCACTCTGATGTACCTGGCTCCCAAATCCATAGACCTTATGGTCTGCCCTTCACTTTCACAGCCGTGGGTCACTCCTGCTAGGAGGAGGGAGGCTACGGTGGGGGCTCAGAAGCTGCCCTGAGCATCAGAAGAAACCAGTCCTGCTGGGAATCTGCCCAGAGCAGCCCAGACACAAGCCTGGCCTGACAAGGCCTCTACTGTGGGTACTGCCAGCTCCCCACCTACAGAACGGTATCCCTCCTAATCACCAAAGCTCAGGGTCTTGCATTTTTGACTCCTGGTGAGGAAGGAATGGGGAGTAGTGAGGCCCTTGCATTTGTGAGCGAGCAGACCGACGCCTACATGTCCTACCCCAGCCTGAGTGCCTATACCTGCACATGGAGAGGCTTGGCTACAGCTGGTGACAGCCCACGTGGAGCTCACTGGGTAACACACCAACAGGGCCCCGGAAACATGGCAGCCCGATGTCTCCAGCACCATCCATGCCTTCCCTGGGGGAGGAGTTGGGACCCTTCTCCCAGCCATCCAAACTAACACTGAACGCCCAGTCTTCACATCAGGAATCCAGGGCAAAATATGACCCTGTCACCCTCTAGCTTCATGAGGGCCCTGGGAAGAGAGCAGGAGGTCCCAAGACCTGGCCAGCCCCACCCCCCCTTAAAATCTACTTCCACCTACCACACAGAGAGCATGCCGTCACACTCCAGGCTGCCCCTCTTCCTCTGGGCCTGCCACCCCAGGTATTCATCCAGTAGGCACTCGGATGGGCTGAGAGGACAGGTAGCCCTGTAGTGTGTCTACATCGTCCAGGACGTGAAGGTCCAGGCCTCATCCCGGGAGGCCTATGATGGATCCTATGGAAACTTCCTGAAGTCATAGTTTGTCTTAGAGGGGAGCTTAGCCTAAGGTGCACCCCCAAAGGCCATGCCTGGGGAGACAGACCCCCTTAAGCAGGTATACGTGCCAAGCTCTGGGCAAAGCATGGTCCCACTCAACCCTAGAACAAACCCTCCCTCAACCCAAGTCTGGTCTGCCATGAAGTCCTGCCAATGTCTCCCAAAACCTGTCTCTTTTTTCTCCGTCTCTGCCACCACTGAGTCCCAGTTATCGTCTGCTTACTTACCCAAAGCCAGAGCAAAAGGTACCAGTCAGCCTAATCCTCGCCACTCCCCGACAGAGCAAGGGGAAGGCTTCTAGGCCCACATTTCATTCTATTGCCCCTGTGGAACCCCTGCAGCCCCATTAGGCTTCCACAGTGCTTAGGGTCTGCTCCCCGCAAACCAGCTCACACCTCCCCCTGTGCCCTGAGCCCTGCCTGCCTTCCCCTGGGCCACAGGGCCTCTGCATACCTGCTCTGTCCGCACCCCTTCGCCTTGTTCCTACGTACTCAAGCCCTCCTGCTTCCCCGGGTCAGCTCCGCGGTCGTACAGCCCTCCGCCCTCTGCTGTGTTCTCGGGACAGGCTGGAAGCACCACGGAGACAAGGTGCTCCTTGCCCTTGTCCTCACTCCTCGCCTTTCTCACCGCCATGTCCCCAGCACCTGGGGCAGTGCCTGGCATACAGCAGAGGCTCCATAAACAGGGGTTGAAGGGCCACTCCCTCACCCACCGCAGAACCCACATTTGGGGGGGAAACTGGAGCTAAACCATTTGTAGACAACCTGCTTCTGGGTTGGGGTGTCATAAGTAGCAGAGGAGCGCCCTTGCTGGGATCTATTGAGAGTCAGCCTTTGACACAAGGGTCTATATAAAATTTAAAAAAATAAAAATAAAAAAAGTAAGAGGATAAAAGATAAAATAAAAAAGGGACCGGCAAATGGCATAAGGGTTATGTCACTGGATTCCCACGTAGTCAATCACGGTTCTGGACCCAGTGGCTTAAAAAACTCATGCTGGGTGCGTTTGCCTGTGGGCCCAAGATCCTGAGAGGAGAATGGAGGAACAGGGATTGAGGTATGGCCACCCCCCAGAGGGTGATGTTTCACTTTCTGTCTTCCCAGTGAGTACGCATGCCATACAGTAAAAATCCCTCAAAAAATAAATAAATAAGATTTTTTTAAAAAAGAAAAATACTGTATTGAATAGAAAAATGTGTGAGCCAATTCTCTGAGGGTCTAGCCCCAGTTCACGGACTCTGAGAAGTTAAGCAGCCAGTCCCAGGGTCCACAGCAGGCAATTGCCAACTGCGGGGTTTGAGCTAAGTCGGCCTACAGACCTGCACTCTCCCCCACTTCCAGACCTGCATCTGGTGGCCTGGCCTCAGTGTCCGTCTGTCCTGCTTCCCTGACAGGCTCTCTCAGGACTGCTCGGCCAGCCCAGGCTCCGCTCGCCGCACCTGCCCCCAGAACCATGGAGAGTCTGAGTGAACTGCAGAACCCGCTGCTGCCCGGGAGCCCCGCCCACCTCCACAGCCCCTATCCCTACGCGGAGGCTGCGCCCAGCTGGTCCTGCCAGGAGAAGCTCTACTCCTACCTCCTGGGTGGTGCCGGCCCTGGTCGCGCCCACCAGCTCCTGGACCCCGGGTCCCTGCAGCTGGCCGTGGAGGCCTGGTACCGACCCAGCTGCCTCCTGGGGAGGGACAAGGCCAAGGAACCCAGGACAGGCAGCTGTGAGACCAGCTTCACAGAGAACAGGGAGTCTCAGGTGGAGCCCACGGAGCGACCCACAGAACCTGGCCGCGCTGAAGAGGATGTCGCCATCCAGACTGTGTCCTACGGAGTTCAAGAGGAGCTGCAGGGCCAGGAAGATGACCAGGAGGAGGATGAGGTGAGCATGCGTGTTTAAAATGCAGGTCTTGGGGGGCCAGCAGATGGCGTGGCAGACTCCCACTTGGCCAACCATGGTTGGAGTCTCAGACCTGACCTGGCAGCTTGCTTTCTCACTTTCTCTCTCTCACTCTGTTCCTCTCTGGTCAAATTAAAATAAATAAATAAAGTTAAATAAAATAATTATTTAAAAAAAAATGCAGGTCTTGGGAACCAGCAGTTGGCGTAATGGCTATGTCGCTGGACTCCCACGTAGTCGACCACGGTTCGCGTCCCGGACCCGGTGGCTTGGAAC